AGTAAAATATGTTTTTTTTTCAAATAATTTATCACTAGGATAGATTTGCGATTGACATTGTGTAAACGTCGGTATTATAAACAGAATTGCGCATTCTGTGGGTGTATACGTGGACGGTCAGTTTCGTTTTGCTGAGTCAAACCTGACTTGTACGGTGTACAGTTTGGTTGGATCGCGAAGTTACCAGCCAGGATTTCCGGATGCACTGTTCATTACCATTCAGGCAATAATGTTGACCATCTCGGCAATGCTGGTTACCATGGTGGCGATGAGAAGACATCTCTGTTACCTCGAGTGCGATCTAGCTCCATGAGTGTTACCGCTAAGATAAAGCCCAAAATGATTGCTATTGGATGGCTAAGGGCGTGTGTCCTTCGGCAAATTTTGTAGGGTTTGCTTTTTAAACTCGACTTTTCTCACTTGAACTTGGTTCGAACTATAGTCGAATTTTACAACTTCCCATGGTCTAGCCGCGAGTCACCTTTCAAGGCAATCACATGTCACATCGAAGGGTCGACCATCAAAAGTCGACTTTTACTACCTAGCTCGCGTCGCGCATAGACTCGTAGGTTACTCTGTTTGCCATCGTGACCGTGCGCCACGTCTGATTCGATGGCGCACCGTGAAACCTGCGTATGATTCGATAGCGCACACGATGGAATTCGCTGGTGTCGCCATTTTCGCTGCAGCTGCAAACGTGGGCAGAAGGACACACGTTTGCATGAATGTGCGGGCGCACGTTCGAACGGAAACTCGACTCTGGTTCAGTGTCCATGTTTGGTTCCATCTTTCCTACCTGTTCTGGCGAAAGTCGCAACCCAGCACGGCGAGACTAACGAAACGGGTTACCACCAAAAGTTCGAACTTGTTTTCGAACTCAGCCTGCCAAGGACACACGCCCTAACTACTATACGCCGGGTTAATCTACTCTCAAGCGTCACATTACCACGTGCCAGTTCAGACCCTCCTGCATTTTACAGCTCATCACGTCCGTCCATCTACCGTTCGTGCATCCTCACCGTACTTTCTAGCTTTTCTCTTAACTCGGCAAACGAGATTACATTTCGCCCAATTTGGGAGGATCGCTCATACATCATGGAAACAGTTGACACTGGCAGTCGAATGAACCTTGCACTTCCGTGTTCGGCAATAGCGAACCAATCCACCAAGTTTACGGGGAGCTGATAATCAGGCATGAAGTTCGCGACGCCCGTGAGCTATCTTATCAGCTACCAAAAACCACACACGCACGAAGTTTATCTCTCGAGTGTCTCTTAACTCATATATAGTTAAAGGGAGCACCAGCTTGAATAGGCAGGAATGTCGATCTCAGAGGAGCTAGCGGCGTCGCTGGGAGTGGCTCCGTCATTGATCACCCTCCTGCTCTGCCTCTTCTCCTCTGTCCCCGCGGCTCTGGTCGTGCGCTTCCTCCCCGGCCCGACGCTGAAGCATCTCTACAGCATTGCGGCCGGAGGGGCTCTCTGCTGGGTGGCGTATGGCGGCCTTCACGGCAAGTCTCATAATCCTCTGTGGTACCTAGCAGCATACGCGTGTTCCATTTCAGTGGTTCTCGTCGCAAGTGACTGTAATGCATTCAGCAAGTCGGTTTTGCTTGAAGCCAGCTAGACCGCCAGCAGTCTGTTATCTGCAATCTTATCACAAGTCCATCATATCGCTCCACTGATCGAAATCGCCATTCCATCCCGTGCTTTCGTCAATGCAGCGAGCCTCAACTTCTGGGGCCTAACCCTCGCGTCGTATGCGCTCATGCTCGTCCTTCCTCGCAAGTGGAGCGGCTACGGCGTGCTCTTTGGCTCCTTCACCTACCTCACCTACTGGTACGCCTCCACACCTTTCTCAATCTCTTACCTTGTCTTCTGTTCCCGTCCCAATGTCACATCGTAAGAATCACATCAAGGTTTTGTAGAAGAAACCATTCTTTCCTGTCTCGTGCTTTCCACTCTCGCATGGGGTGCTAGTTAGTGCCCCCGGCTTTGAAGCTTGACCCTGATTTTGCGGGGTGTTTGAGAATTCTCACAAAAACACCCTGCAAAGTCTTTGAAGCTTGACCCTTCTTGAACCCAACACCGTTACGATGTGATCCGTCATAAGATTATGGCATTTTCTGCCTGAACTCACCGACCACATGAACAACAGGGGGGCGAATATTTTAGCCTTTCAGGAATACGCACTTTCTCGCATGGACCAGAGAGTTACATTCTGCGAGCGGACTTGTGTAGGCGGATTCGCTTTGAAACGTCCCATTTAAATGGGCTATACAATCCGTGACTGCGCATTTCTTCACTTGAACCCTTCAGTCACATAAGCAACCTGGGAGCGGACGTGTGGAGGCAGGGAGGCGTGGACTTCACGGGCACGCTCATGGTGTTCACGCTTAAGATCTCTGGGTGCGCCATGGACTACCAGGACGGCGCGCTGCCGGAGGACAAGGTATTGTCTGCGGTGGTGGTAACGAGGTAACAAGATATTGTGGCAACATGATAATAAGGCTGGACGTTCATGGTGTTCACATTCAAGATCGCCAGCTGTGCCATGAGCTACCAGGATGGCGCACTGCCGGACGACAAGGTATGCTTTGCAATGGTAGCAAGGTAACACGGCATCGTTGTGACTTGGTAACATGGTAACAAGTCTTGACGCTCATGATGTTCCCGCTTAAGATTGCCAGCTGCGTGATGGATAACCAGGACGGCGCTCTGCTGGGCTAGAAGGTATGCTCCACGATGCTGTCAGGGATAAACAGGTGGGCTGCGGAGGTCTTATGTCCATCAACTTAAACTGTTTATCCCACCTGTTTATCCCACCTGTTTATCCCTGACAGAAGGTATGCTCCACGATGGTTGACATCCAAGGCGCAGCACTGCATGTGCAAGAATAGGTTGGCGCAGCACTACATGTGCAAGAATAGGTTGGCGCAGCACTGCATGTGCAAGAATAGGTTGGCGCGCACCATTCTCACCACAGATTGATGTTTCTTCCTTTCTTCCCCCTTCTCACCACTTCTCCACCCCCCTTGCTCCGTCCTTCCGCCTCTCCCCGCCAACCAGGCGCAGCACCGCATGTACAGCAACAGGCTGGCGCGGCTCTCTCGGGACATGCAACAGTCCACTCACATTCTTCTCCTCTTCCCCCTCGCGTCCACCAGGCGCAGCACCGCATGTACAGCAACAGGCTGCCACGCCTGTTCACCACATGTTGACTCCTCTTCCTCTCTTCCTCCGTCCTTCCGCCCGTCTCCGCCCCCAGACGCAGCGCCGCATGTACAGCAACAGGCTGCCACGGCTCTTTCGGGATGCACGCAACACTCCACCCACATCCTTCTACTCCACCCCCTTCTCTCCTCCCCCCAGGCGCAGCACCGCACGTACAGCAACAGGCTGGCGCGGCTGCCGTCGGTGGTGGAGTTTGTGTCGTTCGTGTTCTTCCCAGGCGCCGCGCTGGTGGGGCCCGTCTTCAACCTCAAGCAGTACCAGGCTTATGCCGCTGGGCAAGGGGTGAGTGCGGGGGACGGGGAGTGATGGGGAGGGAGGAAGTGGGGGGGTGGGAGGAAGTGTGGGGGAGGGAGGAAGTGGGGGGGGTGGGAAGAAGTGGGGGGGCGGGAGGAAGTGGGGGGTTGGGAGGAAGAAGGGCGTCTCAACCAGTGCCATGCTGGTGGGGTGGGGTGGGACTCGTGTTCAAATTCAAGCAGCAGCACCAGGCGTATGCTGCTAGGCAAGGGGTGATTCTAAGGAGGTGTGAGTGCAGGGATTGGGAGGAAGGACGAAGCGAGTGTTTTGGGGTGGTGTTTGAGTGGGACGAAGGGCAGAAAGCGCCGTGCTCATTCGAATTGTGACCAGCTTCAACAAGTACCATGCGTGCGTTGCTGAGCAAGCAAAGGGTAAAGGCGAGTGCGGGTTTTGAGGCGCCTCAAGCGCCGCGCTCGTGAAACTTGTGACCAGCTTCAACAAGTACCGGTCGTACGTTGCTGAGCAATGGGTAAAGGCGAGTGCGGGGAGGGAAGCGAAGGAGAAGGAGGAAGTGATGCGACCGAATATACGCCGTGCTTGGTCAAGTTGAAGCGATACCAGGCTTATGTGGCTGGGGACGGGGCCCACTGTCTCCGGTCCCCTGTCCTTCGACTCCCGACTCCTGCGCCCCCTGTACCCTGTACCTGCAACCCTGTCTTCAATTCTGTCTTCACCCCTGCCGTCGCCCCTGTTGTCTCCCCTGTGTTCACCCGTGCCTCACCCAGCTATGGTCGCCCTCTGGGGCCGTGGTGCCAAGCAAGGCAGCTGACGCCAGCAAGGGGGAGGAGGGGCAGCAGGCGGAGAACGGAAAGGGGGAGGCGGACAGGGCGCAGGGCGAGAAGGTGTGCGAGGGGAAGGGCGAGAGGAAGCTGCGAAAGATGCCGGAGCCGCTGCCGTATGCAGCACAGGCGCTGGGGAAGGCGATCATCTGCCTGGCGATGCACCACTTCCTCTCCCAGCACTTCGGCCCTGCCCTGCTCTTCCAGCCCCGCTTCCTCACCTACGGTTTTGCATACAAGTGAGTGTGTGCGGTGCAGTGCAACCCAGATCAGAGCAGCGTTTGCCACTTCTTCATCCCTCCACCAGTTCTGCTCCCAAAACCCTGCCGTCCCCCCCTGCCACCCGCGGGGGGTGGGGCCCCCCTTGTCACCTGCTCCCGCTTCTCATACTCCCTCACCACTGCACCCCACCTCCCCGCCCTTTCCCCCCTCCACCTTCCCTTCTTTTCTCCCATACCCCTCTCATCACAGGTGGGGCTACCTGGTAATCGCAAGTATCTGCCTTCCATACTCAGGTCAGGTGGCTTATGAGTTGACTGGAAAATCCTCTTCCATCTCCCCTCACATCACATCACAGGTGGTTCTGCCTGGTGATGGCGGGTATCAGCTTCCGCTGCTCCTACTACTTCATCTCTTCCCACCCTTCTCCCCCATCACCCCGTCCCCTTGTTCTGATCCCCCCTGTGACCGACAGGTGGGGCTGCCTGGTGATTGCGGGTATCGGCTTCCGCTGCTCCTACTACTTCATCTGGAGTGTGGCGGAGGCCGCACTGATCCTCTCTGGATTCGGTTTCTCTGGCTGGACCGACTCCTCCCCCTCGCGTCCAGACTGGTGAGTTCCGAGATCTCATTGTGAAATCCACGTGGAATATGGTAGACAGTGCTGTTGTTCTGAGACGTCTCAAAACACGAATATGGTAGACAGTGCTGTTGTTCTGAGACGTCTCAAAACACGAATATGGTAGACAGTGCTGTTGTTCTGAGACGTCTCAAAACACGAATATGGTAGACAGTGCTGTTGTTCTGAGACGTCTCAAAACACGAATATGGTAGACAGTGCTGTTGTTCTGAGACGTCTCAAAACACGAATATGGTAGACAGTGCTGTTGTTCTGAGACGTCTCAAAACACGAATATGGTAGACAGTGCTGTTGTTCTTTCTGGATTCGGCTTCTCTGGCTGGACCAACTCCTTTTCCAGTCAACTCCAAACGTGTTTGGGATATGGTTGAGGATGCTTCTTGAGAATCTATAAACCCCACCCAGACCGACTCCTTCGCCTTGCTCTCCTGATTACCTTTGCCGTTTCCTCTGGTAAATTAGCTAAGCGACTCGTCACGTAGGCCAATTTCTAATGCTTGCTCTCTGATGGGAAAAGATGGCCGCATTTCGTGTGGCTGTTCATTCTCATTGTTGGTTCTTATTATCCCACATCTCGCCCCTACCGAGGTGACTTTTAGGTCGACTCAAAAGTCACCAAGCGATGGTCTGATCAGTTTGGTCTTAATGCGCACATGTAGGGAGCGTACCGGGCGGATTTGAAATGCTCATATCTTGCAAAATATATTGAATGAAATGGAATGGGTGTCAGCACATGGCTTCTCATATGAGAAGCCCAATGCGCTGACGCCCGTTCCTTCTCATTGTTGGTTCTTATCATCCCACACCTCTCCCCTACCCATCCATTCGAATGCCTCCACATCTTCCAAACATCCTGCCGCCCCACCTTCCGCTCCGTCCACTTCCCCCCTCCTCCAGGAGCCGGGCAGAGAACGCCAATTTCATAAAGTGTGAGATCACCACGAGTATGGCGCAGACGACTGCCTACTGGAACATGGGCGTCGGCACGTGGCTGCGCACCTGTGCGTGGGACTCTTTGGGCTAGTGTGTGTGTTGGGGGGGGCTGTGAACATGTGCGTGGCACCAAGAGTGCGGAGTGGAGCGGGTAGATGAGAGAGGGGTCCACCACAGATGCCTGCCTACTGGAACATGTGCGTGGGGCTCTTTGGGCTAGTGTGTGTGTTGGGGGGGGCTGTGAGCACGTGCTTTGGGGCAAACAACCTGGGGCGAGGGGGTCAAGAGAAGGCGTAACTCTAAACCCATGGGGGACACCCCATAACTCAACCAAGCAATCCCACCCACATGTGCGCCGCAGCCACGTGCCGACACCCATGCTCCAGTGGGCAGGCCATTCCCCACTCCCTAAACCTGAAACCCCAAACCTGCCACCCTAGTCACGCATACTAGACCGGAAGGTCCCATGCACATGTGCACAGCGCAGCCAGGTGCCGACGCCCGTGTTCCAGTAGGCGGGCATCTGCGCCAGACTCATCCCTCAACCACCCGCATGCCTACTGGAACATGGGTGTCGGCTCGTGGCTGCAGCGCACATGTGCGTAGGACTCGATGCAGGCCTTTGGGGCTTACGTCTTCTCAAGATTTAGGTTTTTGGGGTCTCGGGGTTGGTGCTGCGTCGCATACATGGGGCTGGGAGCCGGCAGTGGTAGGATGCAGGTGGTTGAGAAAGCGAAAGTGGAAGCAGGCAGGAGGGAGGTGAGGAGAGGATGGCAAGCATTCTCTTGAACAATCTGGGGCATGGCGTGCAAACTGTCGAACAGGTACATTTCAAGACGCAATTTGTTGCAAGTAGCAATTTGTTTCAAGTCGCAATTTGTTGCAAGTAGCAATTTGTTTCAGACCGCTCCAATCCACGCTTCCTCTCCACCTCCCCACTCCTCCCTGTTTCCCCTCCCTCAGACGTGTACAACCGGGTGACACCGCGCTCGGGCAAGCCCACCATGTGGGCGCTCGTTTTCAAAAGCACGTCTTTCTCCCATCCGACAGATTGCTCATCCTCCAACCTGCCCACCTCCCCACTCCTCCCCACTTAACTCCCTCAGACGTTTACGACCGGGTGACACCGCGCTCAGGCAAGCCCACCATGTGGACGCTCGTTTTCACTCAAGTCGTCTCCGCGCTCTGGCATGTGAGTCGTCTCCGCGCTCTGGCATGTGAGTCGTCTCCGCGCTCTGGCATGTGAGTCATCTCAAAAGCCCTTGCACGTACCCACCCGTCCCACACTCTCCACCTTGTCTCCCTTTGCTAACGCCTCGTTTCTGTCAATTCCTCGTCTCCTCCACCTTGTCTCCCTCAGCAAATTGGTCTGCTGAGCACCACCACCACACTCCACCCCCTCATACCCCTCTGCCTCCCATTGCCATGCCCCTCATCTCACTGTTTCCACCACACTCTACCCCCCCCATCTCCTTTTTCCCCCCTCCCTCGCCTCACAGGGCCTTCAACCAGGCTACTACCTCTTCTTTGTCAATGGTGCCATCGGCCAACACACCTCCAAGCGTGTGTTTCCTCGCCTCACTGTCATTGCCTCTTTGAGATGCACAACATGTTTGTTTGTATGAGATGCAGAACCTCGTTCCAGACCTCTTCTTTGTCAATGGTGCCTTTGGAACGAGGTTCCTGGCCTCTGTGAGATGCAAAGCCTCGTTCCATACCTCTATTAGATGCAAAATCTCGTTCCATACCTGTTTGTTTGTTCAAGCGCACATCTAAGGCATGACCACTGACGGCATGTGCACTAGCACTTGTTTCATGCCTAGTCCGAGGCTCAAGCCAAGTTTCCTAAGCACACTCACCCACTTCTTTATCCTAACCCACACCCCATGCATTCCCGCTCATGTGTCTGTGTGTGACATGGCACGGCATCTCATGGCATGGCATGTATCACCGCAGTGGCATTCCGGCACACGGCAGCAGCATTCCCGGAGCCATCAGCAGCAGTGAAGGCCATCCTGGACGTGCTGCAAGCCGCGTTCAAAATGCTCATCGTCAACTACTCCTTCGCTGGCTTCCTGGTATGTGGAGAATTGCTGGTACTGTGGTGCTGATGGGGTCCTGGTGTGTTAAGAGGTTTCCTGGTATGTGGAGAATTGCTGGTACTGTGGTGCTGATGGGGTCCTGGTGTGTTAAGAGGTTTCCTGGCATGCCGTGCCCTCCCACAAGGCAGCAGCCGTGAAGGTCACCATGCCCGCTCATGTTTCTATGTGCAAGCCATGTTCAAGATGTGCTTCGCTGGCTTCCTGGTGAGCCACGGGGCCATGGGAAAGAGGAGCATGGAAAAGGGGAAGTGAAAGGGAAAGGGAAAGAGGAGCATGCCCACGTGGTAACAGATGGGGCAGGTGTGTCACGCCTTCCTTCCTGCTGCAAGCCGTGTTCAAGCAGCTCATCGTGAACCACTCCTTTGCTGGCTTCCTCGTGAGCAAGGACAAGGGGAAAGGGGAAGTGAAAGGGAAGAAGGGGAAAGAGGAGCACTTTTTCCTGGTAACGGAAGGGCAAGGTACGTCATGCCGGCCTGGTAATGAGGGCAAGGTACGTCATGCCGGCCTGGTAATGAGGGCAAGGTACGTCATGCCGGCCTGGTAATGAGGGTGAGGTACGTAATGCCGGCCTCCACCCAAGCTGTGTTCAAGCAGCTTATCGTGAACCACTCCTTCGCTGGCTTCCTCGTGAAAAAAGGGAAAGAGGAACTCCTCTCTGCCTCTCTAGTATCTCATGCCTGCCTTCCCCAGCCGTGTTCAAGCAGCTCCTCATGAACCACCCCATCTCTGTGAATTCACAAATTCGTATTCCGCTCTCTGCAATCCCCTCCCCCCCCCCCCCCCCCCCCCCCCCCCCAGGTGCTGCAAGCGGGGCAAGCTGTAGTGCCTCCCTCTCCCATCCGCTCCTTTCCTGTGCCTGTGAACTCTCAAATTCGCATCATCCACACTGCCTTCGCCCCCCCCCCACCAGGTGCTGCAAGCGGGGCAGACCATCGCAGTGTGGCGGTCACTCTTCTTCATGGGAACGATCGTTCCCATCCTGCTCAACGTGCTGCTCTCCGTCATTCCCACTCGCTCCCGACGCCACCGCAAGAAGGCCGAGTGATCTTCGATCGAATTCGGCTGCTGGTCGCATTTGCGCCCACGCGCTCCTGGCGCCAAAAAATGGTCATTTTATGTCATAGAATGGAATCTTCGCCGGTTGATTTGCACTGTTGTGTTCGGTGCTGAGCAGTCACTGACCAGACCACTGCGCTGCCCCTTTTTTTTTTATAGTGGCACAGGGATATAAAAACTGTTACGAATAGTGGTTAATGAAAAACACTATTGCGCACTCCTCACCGTAGCAAAGCCGAAGCACGCACTATCGAGAGTGAAGACGAAAAGGCAGAAGAAACGCGAAGGGACAGACGGTTACGAAGAGCATCTGGACCGTCGGGCAGACAGCATCAGACAGCAGCAGTGGCGAGGATTCTGCCCGAACAGTTACGTAACCACCCGGAGTCGCACGGTTGGGTTTCGCTGCAATAAGGGAATGTACCCCTTAGAGTACATGGCTATTTAGGTCGTTTCGAATTCCCCTGTACTCGTATTTATATTCCTTGTACTGCATGTTTTCATTATCTCAAGCATCTACATTCACTCTGCTATTGAGGTCAAGGGCCCACCACCACTTCACTAGAGTTGTGCGAACCTTCCTGAGGTGATCCTGGTTACGATCCCTTTTGATCGCAACATGGTATGAGAGCGACTCAGGAAACCTTCGCACTGCCATCTCCAAAAACTGCGACATTCGGAAAGTGGCGTCCGGCACACGATCACGTGTAAGAATGGCCGGAGGATCTGGAGGTCAGACGAATCTGACGGCTGAAGCGCAGCCCAACCCGGCTGCGACAAACGAGGAAACGACGACGATTCCTTCCGCCGTCCTCGCACAACTACTTCAGCGACTCACGAGCCTGGAACAAGGGCTCCAGACATTGCGGAATGGCGATGCGGGAACTTCTTCCCAACCCACTCAACCGGCCTCAAACGGCCAGAACTCCGCCCCGCAAGGCTTCTCTCTTGATACGAACGGCTCAACCCCCAAGAATCCCTATCCCACTGATGAAGCAATTCTCTCTGCGCAATCAAGGTTCCTGAGCATATCAAAAATAAAGACAAGTGTGTGCTTTGACGGCAGAGACTTTTACACCTGGAGCTTCGAGCTGGAGCTGCTGCTGCAAAACGCGCAGATTTATCATTACTTCGACGAGAGCTACTCGGGACCTACGGAGGACACTGACGACGCAAAAACCAAGTACTACAACGAGTCCCTGATGGCGTACGGGGTTCTCCTGCGAAATATGTCGCCGACGGAGCAGTTGAGCATCCGCTCATACAAGACTTCTCCAGCTCCCGCCCTCAACGCCTGGCGCCACCTAAACGGTGTGTACCAACCCAAGGACTCAGTGTCGTCGAGCCGCCTGCTCCAGCAGCTACTGGAGACCAAGATGGCACCAGGAGAGAAGGCCAACAGCTATCTGAATCGCTGTCGGAGCTTACGCGATCAAATCGCGAAACTGGGGAGTACGATTTCTGAAGAAATCTTCGTAAATATCGTGCTCCAAGGGCTCGAACCCGAGTGGCGGCCCTGCAAGGCGCTGCTCCGACAGCAGGGGGTCATCTCGGAGGCCGCCCTTTGCGCCGCCCTCCTCGTCGAACAACGGGATATGGACCAGCAGCGACCAGCGCCACGACGAGAGAGAGAACGTCTCGCATTCTACGCGGACAACACGGAAGAGCGACGACCACGGCGCCTTTACTGCAAGATCTGCAGAAATTTCGGGCACTTGGCGGATCGATGCAAGCATCGATCTCGCCCTCGCCAGACCAATCCGAGCACTTGGTCCGGCCGACAAGACGTGAGGAATGATACGCGTCCCGCCCAGGGGCATCAACCCCCACCGCGCAACCCGAATCCAACAACTCGGCAGCAGCAGCAGCCATCACAGGCTGCCCCCGTCCGCAACGTCATGGGGAACATGACCATGACGAGCGGCTCTCGTCGCCCGCGCGCACGCTCACCCTCGCCTGAGCCTGCGCCCGACCCCATCCAAGCGTCTCCGAACAACAATCCGTTCAGCACGCGTCACGACTACAGCGACGACGACAACCAGGACTGGAATCTGCCAGTCCCGCAGCTTGAGAGCCCTCCGCACGTACCTGACATGCGGCCAGCACCGATCGATTGGATCGCGCGTGAACAATTTCTCAAGGTCGATACTCCGCATATCGTCACTCCGCGACTGGCGGTGCTCGCGCGAAACGATAACAGGCGTTACAACAACTGGTACCTGGACAGTTGCTGTGGGCAGCACATGGTGGGCTCCGAGCGTTACATATCCAACGCCGTCGCCACCCCCGAAGTCACCTACGTCACGGTGGCGAACAACACGCGGCTGCGCGCAAGCGCGCAAGGCATTGTGGTGCTCAAGGCACGAGGGAGCCGAACGCACATCACACTTAACGACGTATTGATTGTGCAGAACCTGCGCTTTAATCTACTCTCGACGGCGCAACTCCTGGATTGCGGAGTCATTCTCAGCACCGACCCCGAGACGCGCGACATCCTGCTCCACTGCACGATGCCGAACCAGAAGCGCAAGCAGATTGGACGAGCGCGCGCCGAAAACGGCGTATACGTTCTCGACTTCGACATTCCCGACTACAGCGGCGACTCGCAGGAGTTAATCGACCTCGTCCCTCTGCGCTTCGAACACATCATTCGCCGTGATTGGAAGCACCCCAATGGGCGCCCCTGGGTGCCACACCACCCACACCCGCGCGAACTGGCGCTGCACGACCCGGATGCTGACGGTGTCTGCAGGGACTACCACACGCCGACCTCTTCGACGAGCGCGATCGCCGGGCGTGGCCTCGCCGCCATTCGCGAACAAGAGCGCGACGCACCGCCTGAAGAGGGTCTCTCCCAGCTGGAGCTGGAAACAGCTACACGAGTAGTATTCGGCACACCGGAACACCCTCTTCCCGGACCCGCATCCCAGCATCTCCAAGGAATGCTCCGCGGTGTTGGCGTCAGCACCTTCGACGCGCATGGGAATCCCCGGCCCTACACCGAACGGAAGGCGGCAGAGATCTACTCTCACCGGCGCGATTCGAAGAAACGGCTCTCGCCTACGGAGGAAGAGGCGTTGGCGCAACGCGAAGCCGAAGAGCTTCTGCAGTAGAGCCTCGCCGAGGCACGCGGAACGCTCGCCTGGGAAAAGGACGAGGAAAGCGCCTCCAATGAAGGGGGGTGGGGGAGCGCCAGCGGCTGGGGAACGAGCGACACCGGCGGCTGGGGCGACGCAACCGGCGGATGGGGCGCAGCAACAGGCGCAAACATCGGCGGATGGGGCGCCGCACAAGGCGGCGAGACAAGCGGCTGGGGAGCTTTCCGCGAGGATCAAAGGGGGGAAGAGGAAGAAGAACCTGCGCAAGTTGAGGTTGAACCTCCTATTGTCCCTCTCGGACGCCCTCCGCGCCGCCTTGCATTAGGACCTCCGCCACCAGACATCCCCTCAGGCAGTGACCCCTGGGATACCATCGACTGGGGCAACGAGCCATCCACTCCGCGCCGTACCGTCTACGGACCTGCACCTGAACTGCGCTCACCAACATACATCCCCGGCACGATCCCCGGAACCAACATCCCCTACTCCATCATCCGCGACAGAGAATTTCTCGCTCTCATGCTCACGACGGCGAACGAAGAAGAATAAGAGAACGAGGAAGCAGCGCCCACACCTGCACCGGCACCTGACGAAGACCCCGCAGCCGCACTGGAGCGCTACATGCGCACATCTGGATTCCGCGCCGACGACGCCATCTGGCATCAGCGCCTAGGTCACCCCTCGCGCGCGACCCTGAAGAACTGCATCGAAGCCGGAGTCTTTGCACCTGGCGCGCTGTTGCGCCCTGACGGCTCCGAAGTGAGAGGAGGGACTCATCCGCGCAGCTGCACTGTCTGCCCCGAAGCTGCGCTGAGTCACCAGCCCTTCCCCCTACTTGAGCTGGGAACCAATCGCTACGCCAAGCTTGAGAAAGTTTACAGCGACTTTCTCAACGTAGGACACTGCGGCATCAATGACGAACTCTACACTCTCACCTTCGTCGACGCCGGAACGCGCCACGTGTGGGTCGTAAACGTGGAAGCACGCAGCAGAGCCTACGAAGCTTTTCGTCCGTGGCTGGCGCACGCGCAGCGGCAATCTGGGGAGAAATTGAAGATCTGGCAGTCAGATGGCGTAGCGGAGTTCAGGAGCAAGGAGCTGCAGGATTTCCTCGCGCAAAAGGGGATCGAGCATCACATCTCTCTCCCCTACGCGCATCAGCAGCAAGGCGTAGCAGAACGCACGAACCGCACTCTCATGACGAAAGTGCGGGCGCTAATGCGACAGGCGAAGCTCCCGCCGATCTACTGGACCTACGCGATGCACCACGCTGTGCGGGTGCACAACCTGCTGTCAACCACCGCAATCACCGGCAACTCCTCACCGCATGTGAAATGGATGGGAAGAAAGAGGGACACCTCTATGCTCCGCGTCTGGGGGTGCATGGTTCAATACCGACCGCCAACGTCAACCATCGTGAAGTTCAAGAGCCGCGCGCGCTGGGGAATCCACCTCGGCATCAGTCACGAACACAAAGCATGGATCGTCCTGGATCTCCTAAGCCAGAAAATCAAGAATGCGCGCGACGTTATCTTCTACGAACGGTTGTTCCTGCAACAATTCCGCGTCGACGAACAGACGAACGCAAACCGCGTCTACGCTAACGAGGGCCACAGCTACGCTTCACCTGAGGACGAAGCTGCAGCAGCAATCCTGGAGCAGGATCCCAGAGGCGAGTTCACAAGGGGCGATCGCCGCGACGACGACGACGACGACGATGATTCAGGAGAAGGAGGAACGGGCGCAACAGGAGGCGCAACAGGAGGAGGCGCAGCAGGAGGAAACAGAGGCGGCGGAGACACAGCACCGCCAGCACCGCCCGAACCAGAGAGCGATGATGACGACGTGCAGGAAGTCCTCACTCAACATCGCCACGACAGCACTGTCACCG